CTAGATAAGGGAGGAAATTGATGTCTTCCAGATTTATTCTGTTAATAAATGATTGGTGCTTTCTTCATCACCTCTATCTTCTCTATGTTTACTCGAGGCCCTGTCTATTCTTTTATTTGTTAGCAATATACATTAATCAAAATGTATGAGTGAGTGTAATAAACCCAGTTAGTGACATAATGTAAATACATTCGCATTAAAAATTTAACGTCGTTTCATAGATTCAATAATCTCTTAGGTAAACAGTATTATTTCTATATAATGCTTTCCTTACTCACAATACCTAAGATTGTTATTTTTATTACCACTGTTAGAATGATTGATCATCATCTGTTTAGAGTTAAGATCCATAAAGTGTAATGTTCAATGTGTGTGTGTGTGTGTGCGTGTGCGTACGCGAGGGGGACGTAGATGGCTGTTTTGTTCTTCTAATGACCAACAATAACAGCTGCAGTAAAGCTTGAATATTCCAGGGATATTCAGGTACCTGTTCAGGCAGCGTATCTACTTAAATGAAGTTTATAAAAGCAGCTGTGTAAAACTACAAGAAGAAACAAGTAGAAAAGATGCTTTGTCAGTGGACGCACCCCAGTTACTGTCTAAGTACAAGTGTGTGTGTGTGTGTGTGTGTGTGATAGTTAGATTATGTCACTAACATCGAAATGAGGTGATGGTTGTTGACTGTAATTATTGTGTGTGCGTGAGTGTTTGTTTTATTTAAACCAAAGTATATTCTGCAGATAGAAGCTGAATTTCGGAAGATTATCCCAACTTATCAGTAATCTATTTTCATCTTAAGCAATCTATTCAGTTCATAAGTTAACATATCGATAACAGTCATGTTTGGATGACATTTTGAACCAGGATTTCGTGCCTATTGAAACTATGGAGCAAGATTTAAATAATCTGAATATCTTCAAGAGACATACATGTTACCGTAGAAGTTCATGGTTGTTGCATCTCAATACAAAAGTCAATCACTTTGCCTTTAAGATATTTATTCAAAGGATGAGTGAATGACTGGACAACTGACTGATGAACACAAATCAGTCGAATAATAGTTTATAATTTAGTTGAGCAAAGAATATCCTTTTCGATAAATTCCTCTTCTCGCTCTACAAGTATATGCAGATTTTTATATACATAGAATATTCTAGATTAGTAGTCGATAACAATATTAGTGTTTTTTTAATTAATATCGATTTGTAAAGATCAATGGAATTACCACAGTTCATTAAAGATGCTTAAATTATAATAATAATAATAAAGATATAATAGCAAATCAAATATCAACTAAAATTAGGAAAATTCCACAAAAATTGAGAATCATTCAAACCTGGTTACATAGGCCGTACAATTAGGCGTGTTTCTCGTCGAATCCCGAACATCACCTTGTGTTCTTAAGTAAAGGACAAACAAAATCTATTCGTAGAGCTATTCTATCTCATCTTGTGGATACAGAACACAAGATTGATTGATGTTAACCAGGCTTTCACAGTCATTTATCGCATACCAACAAATCTCAATTTCACCTTAAGAGCTTGACTACTAAATATTGCTGAAGCTTAACAAACCTAATTTGTGCATCCAAGAGAAGTTAGTTCAGATATTATCATTACCTTGGCCGTCTAGGTTTGAATGATTCTCAATTTTTGTGGACTTTTCCTAATTTTAGTTGATATTCTACTTGCTACTATATCTTTGTTATTATTATTATTATAATTTAAGCATCTTTAATGAACTGTGGTAATTCCATTGTGATCTTACTTTACAAATTGATCGTATTAAAAAGACACTAATATTGTTATTGACTACTAGTCTAGAATATTCTGTGTATATAAACATATGCATATAATTGTATTGTAATTTTCGCTATATAATTTAGTTGTATATTTTGTGTGCTGATTACACGTTGATGATGGACTTAGGCGTGAATGTACACATGCCGTTAACTAATACTAAATTCACTTTTAATTTAAAAATTAACAATCAACCTTTAGAAGCAATGAGAAACCCAAAGGCTATCGCATCAATGTAGATTTAGTTCTCTTAACCTTAGATGTTTACACCAATTGTCATCAAGAGACTTGTTCTGTAGTGATTTGATCTGCTTTAAGGTTGATCACGGGCTGTCATCAGTCAAAGAACCATTAGAAAACCGGAGAGTTTGTTTTAGTTTTTAAGACTCTTCATCAGCACACTCCCACCGGGATTTGAATCCAAGACCTTCCATTTACAAGGTGGTGAGCTCCGTAGATCAATCAGTCACTGAGACCCCGATCCAATGGCCCATAGAATTCCAACTTCTGCCATTTCGTGATTTTGGCGCAAACACTAGTCAATATCATCGCGAGTATTGATTTATTATCCTCTGTCTTGTTTTCTCTCCATTGTTTATTTATTTATTTTTTGTTTCCTGTTACTCAACGTGTTATTTGAAACCAAGTACCCTATTCTGAGTATTTCGTCTTTGTTATGGACACTTTTTAATTATTTTCTTTCATTTCAATTCACCCACTGGTATAGTCTTTCGCTATATTCCTATTTTTAGTTTGTAAATTTAAACTCTCGATACAGTTTTATTTCATATTGATATTTCATTTAAATTCTAGATATATTTATAACTCGTTATTATCTTTACCATGGCAACTCCATTCAATGTATCAATATGTACTTTTATGGATGTTTCCATTTCGTTTTAATTACATTATCACTTCGTTATGGATCATACACACTTATTGAACTTGAACTTAACACTTATCTGTCGTCAAAACATCCATGTTGTTTATTGGAATTGATATCAATATTCATTTAATTTCACTTGTTAGATTTCGTCACGAACTAGTACAAGTTAGAGATAGGGCACTGGAGTACTGTTTCGTCCTATTTTATGACTCTTCAATGATCCATACCCAGGGTTCAAAGATGGTAACGTTCAGGTTATGAGATCAAGCTCGTTGACCATTCAGCCAATTCAGTCAGAATTCAATGATACCATAATCTACATATCAATATCCAGGTGTCTGATGGCTATTTGGCGGATTTCCTGAAGCTTTCCTGGAGTTCAACGTGGGTAGTACTGTATCGCGCGTTGGCACAGTTAGAACTCACGATTGTTTGAATTCTGTCCAAAGTGGCTGAATGGTTAACCTAAAGATGCTAGGTTCAATCCCTGATGGAGTCGCGTGTACCTACTAATGAAGAGTCCCAAACTGGGACGAAACGGTAGTCCAGTACTCCCTGGTTTTCAATGACCCCCAAATCCCCTAAAAATATCATAATCCAGATAAACAATTATGTTTATTATTGATATAATTGTCTGCTTCAAGCTGTATGGTTTTATTGCGAAGCTTTTACTATCTTCCTAGACAATATACTCAGCTCTGATTTTAAACAAGGACCGAGCATTCAGCATTCTCTGTGAATACAATGCACATCGTGTCTGATCGCTATGCATGTGGTTAGTTGTCTCAGGAGATATCCTCTTACCTGTATCATTTAACTAAGCTAAAAATCTTCTTCATCGTGTTTGTATGATAATCAGCTGACGAGTCCTACCAAAGTTTACAATTCTCGTCATATACTGCCTTTCTTCCCCAAAAACTGTTATCAAACTTTTGATAAGGCCATACAGCTATGACAATACTAGTTGTTATTTGCAGTAACAATGTCAGTGGATACAACAATTCAAAACTGTGACGGTAATCATGAAAATTCCAATGTAGACTTCGTCGCAAACTGACGTCAGTTTGAGAATCCTTTAAAAGCAAGGATTCTCACGATGTCCACACCGAAATTAATCAAACCATTATCAATCTGAAAACCATTGAAATAGCTATAATGTATGAATACGGCAGAAGGTTATTGATGCTTATAAAAACTCCTTCATTAGATTGTATTATTATTCCCTTAGGTTCCTAATGGAACATAGGGCTCCAACAAAACATCTTCATTTTATCCTGTTTTACGCGAACGTCTCTAACTAGCTCTTTGAGTTGTCCGTAGGCTCTCATCTCTTCTTCACACAATGTTCTCTATGTAACCCTCACACTCACGCCTAACTCGCCATTACCCATTCGAGTCCCACACGCGTGCCCTGGGCTGCAGTGTGATGTCACTCAAAGCACATATTGGTTCGTTGCAAGAGTTTCTTATTTCTAACTTCATTTTGTCTATCTCATGTTCAGTGTGGAGCAAAGGCAGCTGTTGATGGAAGCCTTCAGCAACCTATTGAAAATGCTCCCAGTGACGCACATTCCAAGTTTCTTTAACATTTAAAATTATTGTCTTGACATTGATGTTGAAAGTTCGAATCTTGTTTTTTTTTTATGCTTAGTGCAGTAGATTCCCAGACTGCTTTCCAGGTGATGAAGGCCCATCTTGCCTTTCTGACCTAGGATTTGATGTCTTCATCCGTCCTGAGTATCTGTAGTTGAAACAATTTCGCTTTGCCAGATAAGTGAAAAAGATAACCTCCTTGAAATATCTCCCGTTGACAGTGTCTGATGATGTAGAAACCCACAAACATTGATGGTGGTAACTCTCTGAGATAGTCTTTCTTTATAATGGGTGTTGGGGATTGTATGCGAATTGAAAGTTTGATTTTGCGACTGCAAGACTCGAACCAACAGTCTGGGTATTGCTAAGTATGGCGCTCGATCAGCTGATCTACAAAACCAGTGATGATTGCCGTTAGTTCTCGTAGATTAGTTGGTAGAAGAGCGTCGAACTAGTAAGTCAGAGGTGAATGGTTCGAATTCTGCCTCTTCAACCCAAATTTTCATTTCACCTTTATTCCGTCACCACCTATTACACATCCCTAACAGTCTGCCAAACCACCAAGAATATCTTCTACAGAGTTTCACCATCAATTCGGTTAGAATGTTTTTTTTTATCTGTTAAACTCAAGCTGAATAAACATAATGCCTATATTAAATAATAATAATAATAATATTAATCAAACGCTTATTCTGTCTCTTTTTTCTCATCTAACTTTTCAGTCTCTATTAGACAACGGGGAAGTAAACATAGACGAATTAGATAGCAGTAATAATAGTAATTCACTGAAACGCATTAAACGTACTGCCGGCAATTCAGATTGGTTAGATACAGATAATGAGGCGGCAACAAGTCCAGTTAGCCGAGGTCAATCAGATCTTGGCACTGCGAATACAGATGCTCAACGATTAGCTTTAATGATACAAAATCAATTGGATGCAATTAACAAAGAGATTAAAATGATACAGGTAGGCGTTGTTTGTTTCTTTGTTGTTATTGTTGTCTTGTTTGTTTTTATTTATTGAAATTATAATAACGAACTGTTTGTCTGAAACGAAAAATACATATACTTTGTAGTTTGATAATATTAATTATGAATACTGATGATGATTATACTTTCTTATCTTATCTTAAAATATATCATTATTGCTGACTGTCGGCATACCCTTCATCTGCTCTCCATCTTGTGTCCTGCCATAGTCTGTTACGATTGGCTTATTTGTTTCCCCTCCGATTTGGACAGTTATACAGGTGATGGATGCAAGGTCCTATGCTGTCATATGAGAGGTGTGGTACTTAGTTAGCCATTTCGCTTCGGATGTCGTGTTACAATTTCTTGGAAATTATTCCATATTAGTTTGTTTATTAGATGTATCACACAGTGAAACAGTATTATTTACTGGATGACGTTTCGAACAAAATTTATTGTTCATAATCATATTAATTATAATCACACGACTTCGAAACTTGAGTTTTCGAAACGTCATACAGTAAATAATACTGTTTCACTGTGTGATACATCTAATAAACAAACTAATATGGAATTGCTTGGAAATGCTTCTTCCTATTTTTGGTAACAGTATCCGTAACAAGGTTTAAATAATGGTGAAGATTTGTAGCTCAGGTATATGGTTTTTATATAGTTTTGGTCTGTGAAACGAATGCTTTAATTTTGCGTCGGTGGCACAGTGGTTAGGACTCTCTCCAACTATGCACATGGTCTGAGGTTCGATCCCCTGCCGACGCACACCTGATATCTATGGTTGGCCTGCAAAATTTGGACTGCCGATATCCATGCTGAAAATTCCATACTTGTACCAAAAATACAGTGTGGAATCAATCTGTAATCAAAATATAACCATATATATATATATATATATATATATATATATATATATATATATATATATATATATATAACTAATGTCAGCTCATGATGAAATCCTGAAACCAATCAAATCCCTACAAACCAACACTTGAACAACAATGAGATGCTCACTGGAGACTGGCCCTATTCAGGTAGGTAGTTACCTGGATTCCAGTGAAAAGTCGTGACCAGTAGGGAGCCGTGGGTCGGGTGTGAGGACAAATACTCGCCGAAGACATTGGCTAGGGGTTGTGCTACGTCTTGAATTGGCAGAAGTTAGGATTCAAGGGCCATTGGATCGGGTCCCAGTGGCTTAATGGTACGCGAGCTCGCCTTGTAAACGGAAGGTCCTGAGTTCGAATCCCGGTGGGTGCGTACTGATGAAGAGTCCTAAACTAGGACGGAACAGCTGTCCAGTACTCCCAGGTTTTCCAATAGTTCTGTAACTAATCTCAGCTCATGATGAAATCCTGAAATATAAATGTCTTTAGCTCTAACTTTGAACTAAGTTGAGCTGAAGATATTGTCTGGAAGTATGAAGAAAGTTTAACAATTAAACCATCCAGCTCAGAGACCACAACTTCATCAAAAGGTGAACATATATATTTGGAGTCTTAAAGAGTAGCTTTGTATCAACAGAGTCGTCGATAGTTAATAGTTAGAGGTATTATTTTCCATTTTTCAGATAATTGATTTTATTGGATCAGATTGCTTGATCTATTGTGACCTCTGTGGCTTGATTAGTAACTCTTTGGAGGTTAAGTAATGGGTTCTGGTTTCGAGTCTTAGTCGGAAGGACATCAGTCACTGGGGATGCAGATACATCTAGCCGATGAGTTCAAGCATTAGAATGAATTGCGCTTTCTGGATTCCACTGCTGGCCACTAAAAGCCAGGGACATCAGAGTCATTAGTGTTTCACTATAGTTAACTGAGTGTGAGAACTGGTAATGGGTTATATTCACCTTCTTCAAAGGGTATTAGACAATGTTGAGGTTGAAAGTTTTCCGTGAATAAAGATCAGAAAATTCAAATTCGTCATTTACAAATTGTACGGTTTTATGGCGACAATCGACAGTGATTTTCTAATGTATTGAAATCATAATATGTGATGTGATTGATGGCTTGAGTATAGTTCCTAAGTGCCCGTATCAGTCAGTGGTATATACTCTCATGCTATTTTGCATGTTTTATTGCAGATTTTTCAGTTTACGAAGGAAACCACTTTACCCAAGTAGACAGTGAGAATTTTGGTAGTTCATAATGTTTCAGCCCTTTGAATGGGGCCAGTTCAGGTAAACCGTTAGTTGTCTCGGCTCCAGGTAACCGAAGTGACCGTCCGGTGTTTAGATCTGGTCAAGGAGCTTTATTATTCAATAGATGAAGTGATTTATTTATTTGCGGTAGCCTTCACACTAATGTACACTCGTGTACTCTGTTCTGAGCGAGTCAGTTGTTATCAAGTCAGAAAAGTAGTCCATAAAAATGAATTCACTTTTCGAGAATAGCAATATGAACTGCTCGTTTTCTACCCTTGTCCTTCGAAGAATTTTCATGATTTATTCTATTGCATATTATAGGAAGAGAAACAAACTGCTGAACAGTTAGCTGAAGAACTAGAACTCCGCGTTGGTACAAATCGTAATGGAAGTTCTGATGGCCAACTAATGGAAGAATATTATCAACACCAGCATCAACAACAACAACAACAGCAACAACTACAACAACAACGAGGTGGTATTGGTGGTGTTAACGACCCAAGTGGAGCATACTACTACATGAATCAAGATACACGTCTCCATTCGAATAATGTTATGCCTAGCTTGTTACCAAATTTTGGTCCAACTGGTTGGTCCCCACCTCCATCACCGTTAAGCTCACGATCAACACCATTTGGTGGGATATCAAATGATTCATTCAGTGGTAGTTTCAGTAATCCTGCACGTAATACATCCTCTTTGCCTGGTAAAGAAACAGAGAGATCATTGCCTCAATATCTGCCTTCATTAGATCCTTCACGTAATATTCAACACCAACCCCCGCCAGTACAACAGTATTCACAGTCAACTACTGGTAACAGTTTTATGTCACGTAGTAGTCAATTTGAACAACAAAGATCGATGTCAGCTGCTGGACGTCCATTGCATCAGGTAAATGAATGGTCAAGATGACTGCACTATAAAATATCATGTCCTTTATTCTTCATATCTTTCATTGTGTGAATTGAACGTCAGCATTACTCCATTTACTGTTTTGTTAACCAGTAGAATTCTGTAAACTTCTAGCAATCAAAGTAGCCTTGATATAGTTAATTTTATGGAGCCTTGGTTTATTCGGTGAAATTCAGTCATTAAATCAGTAACCTGCTTTCGTATAATACTAGGGAAATGAAGTTCTAACAGAATTCGTCCATCATATGTAATCTCTACTCTTTCAATTCATTCAGCCATTTATTATTAAATATTACGAAAAACCTTATTATGATAGGAATTTATTTATCCCAAGTTTGGCCACAGATTAGTATCAGTTCGAGAGTACTACTGAAAACCAGAAAGTGCCGGACAACTGTCCCATCTTACTAGTTTGGGACTCGTCTGAAGTACCCACCCACCCACTGGGGTTCGAACCCAGGACCTTCTTGTTACAAATCAATTTCGTAGACCATCCAGCCATTGAGGCCTGACTCAATGACCCATCAATTCTAACTTCAACGAATTCGTGAGTTTAACGCGATTGACTACCAGCCAATGTCATCTATGGCGAGTATTTATCTTCACTGCTGATCGAATGGAGCCCACTGGTGACAACTTCTCATTAGAGCTCGAATGGAACTTCGTCCTGAATCCAGTGGCTAGCAAGCATCAGATTAATTTTCAAGACTTAGTTTGCCGCGATATAATTTATTTCATGTTTGACCATGGAATTTATTTCACACAAAGGAATTATTATTATTAGTCATTCTTCGACTTCCAAATGGAAAATAAGACTTCATCTGCACGGTCCGACTCTACTCAGTCCTCTGCTATAACTTTTCCATAACTCTCCACAACCTTTCATTTCCTCGTCACATAATTTCTTCCTTGTCACCCTTAGACGTACGCACACTCATCTCTCCCCATTCCACGCTTCACTCGGGGACTGGGCGTGTGATTTCACTCGATGGTCTCCTCAAAGTGTATGCCTAATCATCCATCTCCACTTCCTTCTGCATATTTGTTAAGCTATAAATTGTTGGCTGGTGACACGCGTCCACCAAGTTTCTAAACTATATTGAATCAGTGATTTGATGTATATATTAAAAGTTCTAAACTTGTTCTTTTCTCTAAGTGCTGCGTATCTCCACGAGTATCATCAAGGTAGTAACTCTCATCCTGCCCAATAAGAAATCTCCTCATCACCACTGCCACCACTCCTCATTGCTACGAAAAATCCAGAGAACATGAACACAGAAATAAACATTTTTTCAAAAAATAATTAAATCTTTAGCTTATTTATCTACCAGTTAATTATTCATGCAAATTTATTTTTTGTAAAAAAAAAAGAACCCCCCGATCCTTCTGAGTTGGATTTCACTTCTTTTTCTTGTTGTTTGCATACATTTCATAACTGTTTTGTCTGTTTTATCTCAAAAACAGACAGATTTTCTTTCATCGAGTATTGTATTTAGAAGAAAAAAATAGGGTGTTTTGTTTTACCAGTCTACACGGGTTGGAAAAAGCATTTTTTATCGACCAGTTGACGAGTCGCGCGCGCGAGAGAGAGAGAGACAAGATGACATTTTGATGTGTCTAAATATAATCACAGAGAGAGACTTAGAGAGTTAGCATGACGCAAGTCTGTATTAAGTGGAGGAAATATGAAAAGTTGGTAAAGTTCTCGGCTGTATCTGTGATATAATATCGAATAAAATGGTGTTTTTCAACAACGATGAAAAATGCCTTTTGTTAAATGAGAGAAATAAAACAACGGAAAGAAAAGAAAAGTATTGACTAGGGATTCCTGATAATAATAATAATAATAATATTACGAATAGTGGTAGTAGCAGTAATAGTTGGCTGATAAAATGAAGTGTGAAATTGACGTCATCATCAGGTTAAATAGTGTCAATTGAAGACACACACAGACACATGCGTGCGTGTGCCTTCAAGACACAGAGAGATAGTAAAAGGTATGATTAATTTATCATCACCTGAAAACCAGACACCAAGGTCACAAGATTGCAAAATAGGTAGCAGTAGAGACAGTGTGCACGTTTACAACAGAGGTGGTGACCAAGGCGAACATTAACTGGTCTAGTCCCTAAGTGTGTATGTGTGTGTGTGTTTATGTATATGTGTCTATGGTGACTGGAGCCTATGAATCATGTAACACAACATTCTTTAACACTTTTGTGTGTACTCTCCTTTTGATGTTAAATGTGTTTTTATATTAGCATGATTCAGTTGACAAGCATAACAATTAACAATTATCAAAGAATTGAAAGTGCGTCGGTAGTAAAGCGGTTAGGACGCTCGCCAACCATGCACATGGTTCAGAGTTCAGTCCCCGGCCGATGCACTCCTTTACCTCGCTGAACCAGAAATAACGCTGGTAAAGAGGAAAGGTTGGCCATGAGATTAGTAACTCCATTCTGTAAACACAAACACTGCTACAGAAACTTCAAGCCACTAGCTTGAAGTCCTATGTTCCACTGGGGAACGTGAAGGAAAAAAAAAGAAAAGGTAATACTTGTCTAGTATTGGTTTTGCAGGGATTTTGTTTAATTGGTTAGAGGATTCCATAATGAGCTAACATCAGTTAGAGAACCATTTGAAAACCCGTAAGGAGTACTGGACTGTGGTATCATCCTAGTCTGGGACTCTTTCTTAGTACGCATCCATCATGCAGGGTTTGGTTACAAGGCGAACTCGTAGACCAGGTCGTAGAAGCTTAATGGTGTACGAGTTCGCCTTATAACCAGAATGCTCTAGGTTCGTACTGTTGAAGAGTTCAAAACTAGGATGAAACAGCTGTCCAGTACTGCCTACAGGTTTTTCAATGGTTCTACATATATATATATATATATATATATATATCATTGAGAGAGGTAATACGGATAAGCAAATAAACTACATTGAATCAGTCATATAAAACAACAGGTGTGAATGTTTTTCTCAGTTTTTCATATTAAAACAGACAGGGGGAAGGGAGAGAGTATGAGGAATTAAAATTGAGATATAAAATGCCAGACGGTTTAATTACATCACTTAAATATGCAATTAGTTATCAGAGAATGAAACTGTGAATATATCAAGAATTGTTCAGCTGCATAATAATAATGATAATAACAGTAATAATTTGAAGACGAGTTAATATAATGACACTGATAAAAGATAGTTTCAAATTAATCAGGAATGATATTAAGGGGTAGAATAAAATATAGAATAGTATATTAATAATAATAATAATAACAGTTAATAAGTAAAACATATTATCATGATAGATTGAGAGTGACCACCATTTCCTGCTGTTCACAGAAACCTGATTTTTAAACTCTAATTGCACAGGCCTTCGCAAATGTTAGCATCTTCCTTTTTGTTTGTCTGCTGACAACAGTGAATGATTTGACAACGTCATTATCATGTCCATAGTCTACAAGATGCTTCGTTATTGAACTATTGGACACTTTGACTTCAGCCGTTTTCAACCACTTCGGCAAATGCTCCATCATGCTCGGTCTCAGATTGACATGTCGGCTTCTTGTGCACATGCTTCGACGATGTCTGAGCATGTAATCAAAAGTTAATTAGTGACCCAATTGGTCTAGTGGATTACGCTTTGGTATTCGAAACTATGGCACTGCGTTCGAGCTTCAGTGGGAACATCATAACTCACTGGGGAATGCAGGTACATCCAGATGACGAGTCCCAAATATGACGAAATGTACATCCTGGTGGGTTCCACTGCTAGTCGCCATCCACCAATTAATCTATGCAATTGCTTCCACAAACACACTCAATCTGATATACTCAGTTTAAAGTGTCGAATATTGGCGACTGGATTGTTGAAGTGGCACCCAGGTGAAGCGGGTACTTACTGATCCTGCAACCCTATTCTCCAGCAGTAAAACTTTCCCCCTCAGACTTATTAAGATAATATGAACGATTTATGCTATGAGTATAACTCTAAATGATCTTGGTATATCGATCTGATATCCTGTATATCAATCAGTCAGGTGCTGAGTTATAGAGCTGTTAAACGAAGCTCAACCTCTTCGACGTAAACTCTTCAGGTTGAGATTGAAATTACTTCATGAAACTGCTCTGGTTATTCATTTAAAAATTGTTAATTAATAATTTCCCTGAACCTCCTACACAATGAACCTATCCTAGCAACTGATGAATTGAACAAACTTCTCTTGCCTTGGAATTTAACAGTGTGATGAATGGCATTTAGAAGCTTCAGATAAAGATCTAAATCTATGGTAAACTTTGAATCACTGACTATGTTCTTACTTATCTACTCAGGAATTTTATTAACTTTTGATAATAGAACACAAATAAGACCCACTGCGTTTTCCCCTTCAGTTTGTTTTCTTCTATACTTCATCAAACTTCTCTCTTATTAGTCATTGTCAAGCAAGTCCTGTTTTCAGATAACCTTTTTCATTTAAAACAATTAGTCCCTTTTATAAATTTTGATAGCGTTATTAGAAGACGGAGACTATCTGAAAAATGTGATGTATTAGCGCTATACATTTCGAACAATCTGATCACACATTTACTTGTCAAGTCAATATATATATATATATATATATATATATAGAAAGGTTAAATTAAACAAAGTGAGAGAAAACGGAATTAAGAATAATTAACACAAACGTTTGGTAATCCAATCAGATAAGGATTACCAAGGTAGGTTAAGAATAATGACAAACTTAAGCCCCCCCCCGTTTTTGAATACACAAGCGGGTTAAGTTTACTCTTAACCTACCTTGGTAATCCTTATCTGATTGGATTACCAAACGTTTGTGTTAATTATTCTTAATTCCGTTTTCTCTCACTTTGTTTAATTTAACCTTTCTAAATTTTAAGAAACAAATTTAGAAACTTTTTGAGACTGTCGTTGTTTCCTTCCAAATTAAAAGACATTCGGATAGTTGTAATCTGTCTTCAAAAATGCATAAAAAACCTCTGGATAAGTTTCTGTTAATATCCCAATATGGAGTTCGGAATTGATTTTGTCACAAACTAGCACAAAATCAGAAGATCACTTAATAATTACAAGGTACCGGGGAGTTGTTTCGCTCTGATTTGATACTCTTCATCAGCACTCTTTGATGAATTCACAAGGGAGTGAATGTTAAGTCATTTAGTTAAAAAGTAAAACAAGTTTACAATGCAGTCACTGAGCCGGAATTCACATACTGGAATGTAATATGCGTACTGCATAACTTGACTATTCAACGTTCAGTGTGTTGTAGAATCATATGTGTATGCATTGTTGAGGCCGTTAGTTGTAAGTTAGGATGAAATGGATGTTCAGTGTATGTTGGTCTTCAACGTTTTTAAATTATGGATTTAGTAGGTATTTGGATTAAATCCAATATAGATATCGTCATGAGCCAACATCATTTAGATGAGCATTGAAAACTATGGTATACTGGGCAGTTGTTGCGCTCTAGTTTAAGACTCTTCAGGAGTGCACACTTACAACCCCATTAGGGATCCAACCCGAGACCTTCAGATTACGCTATCAGCTTACTGACCATTCCGCCACTGGGACGGAATCCGATGACCGACACATAAATTGTAAATTCGGTCAGTCTGTGAATCTTAGCACCACCACCTGCCAGTGTCATCCGCAAATACATGTCTTTATATCTGACCTGGTGGACTCCATTGCTGATGACTTCTGACTAGAATTCCAGTCTGCTGACCATTCAGCCACTGGGATAGAGTTCAGCGACCGGTCCATGAATTCTAAATTCTTTCGGTTAACGAATTTTATCACCACCAACTGCCGATGTCATCCGCAAGTACTTGTCCTCATATTCGACCTGATTTACTCAACTGATGATGACTTCTGACTAGAATTCCAGGCAACTTCCTCCTGTAGTCAGCCACTAGTCACCATCAGATTCATTCTCAAGTGTTAGTTTGTAGGGATTTAATTAGTTTCAATTCTGATCATGGATTAATATCAATTAGTAGTGGACCAGTGATCGCTGGTTGGGTTGTGGGCGCGTACTGGTGTAACAACAGAAGACAAGGGCCAGGCAACAGATAGTTTATTAAGGAAATCAACACTTATTTATATATTTTCATGTACATTATTATAGCTTATTCCAGCAAACAAACACTCTTCTGATTGGTTGCTTCTCACAGAAAGTTGACCTTGCATCTCTTTGTGACTGTTTCTTGAATGTCAGATCATCTGTATGTTAACTGTATCTGCCTATGCAAAGTCTGCTGTGATTGGTTATTGAATCAGTCTTGCTCATATTTTCTCACGACCAATATTGGGGACATAAACATTGACGTAAATTAACGTCTACCAATCGACTAGTAGCCTGTTCTCACCACATTGGGATTAGATAGCTGTCTAATACTCCTTGATTCTCACTAGTCCTCTAACTGATATCCATTCGTAGACAAACGTCAAATGATCCAATCCCTACAAACCGACACTTGAAAAATTAATGGCCTAATGTCAAATTCTAACTTTTGAAAATGATGTATAGTTCGAGTTTAATGAATCAATAAATAAAAGGGTTCATATGAAAGAATTTTAACACTTTGATATTAACATTTGAAAAAAACTTAACTATCGTGTGTGCGCGTGTGTGTTTATGTGTGGGTTTTTTTTAATTGACCCGTGTCAAACAACATCTCTTTTAAGCTCTTTCTAACCTCACACAGTTTACCATTGGATGGAGTATAAATGATGCTGTGTAATTGTTCATTTATTGTTGTTGTAATATCACATATGTGTTATTTGTTGTATTCACAACGTATTATCATATTGTTGTAACATTAACCTCATTGTTGTCTCTAACCTTGTCAATTCCTTTCCTTCCCCCCTGTTTTTCATCCGAAATCTAATCTCTTCCCTGCATCGAATATGCATATACATATGCAATATTATATATGTCTGTAAGTCTATGGGTATGAATGGTAGTTTTGTCTCAACACCACATCTTAATCCTCAATCCTCATCATCATCCTCTTCATCACCGTCTGTTGTTGTCACACAGAGTTCAAACAATAAATCTACAATTTCAGCAGCTAGTATAAGTACAACATCAATTACTACTAATGGGGGAGGGCCTACTAGAAGTGTAACCTTAGCTGATGCTATTGCTGGTCTTGAACTACTGGATCATATGCGTAAGGAACGTAGCGCCCAACAACAACAGCAGCAACAACAGTACCAAAAGAATAACAAATTTGCTTCATGTGTTATCACTGAAAATCCCTATGAATTTGGACCTGATGAATATTCAACAGTGTCTACTTTAGAATTGAGTCGTGTTAGCTCATCCTCTGAAACTGTTATCTCTGAAACGAATACAAAGTCACAGCAACAACAACAACAACAGAAACTTCAACCTACTGATGAATCCCAACGATTGCGAAAATTAAGTAAAGACAATAACAACAACAACAATAAATTTGTTGTAAGAAATACAGAGTCGAATCATTCAAATATAACAACATCGAAGGTATATTTATGTGTATATATACGCGTGCGTATGCCTCTAGTTGAAGCTTGCAAATTAGTTGTGTTTTCTTTTTCACACTGGCTGTATTAAGCTGTCTTTTGCTTGCTTATGCGCTTACAAATAAAAAATTGGATTTGCTTGTTACACTTATAAGTTGATTTATTCTACACTGCTTGTTCATTTGCTTGCCGATTTTTTTTTATCGTGGTTTAGTTTGGGTCATTATTTCTTTTTGTTGTTGTTGTTGTTGCTGTTGTTTTTTGTGTATTAACTCTGAGTCACTCTGAGCAAATGAGGCCACTGGGAAGATGAAACTCTAATTGCTACTGATACGACTAAAACACCGTTGATTAAGATTGTCACTTAAGTGAAACAGTCGTCTTCTTCTTGAAAGAGAGAGAGGGGGAGAGTCTGTAACCGGATTACAGGTTCCACCATGAACTGACATCAGTTAGAGAACAATTGGAATACCAACAGGGTGTACTGGGCAACTGTATCGTCCACCTAGTTTGGAACCCTTCAGTAGTACGCGACCGTCAGGGTCCGAATCCACGACCCTCCGGTTAAAAGACAAGCTCGCAGACCATTCAGTCATTGAGATCGAACTTAATGGCCAGTCCATAAATTCCAACTTCTGACAATCTTCTAAATGATGTCATTTTGTGGTCAAACCTGTAACTGATCACATCCTTGCAAACCAACACTTATTAGTTAGATAATGACCTTTACAAAGTAAACTGACCTTTGGTATCAGATGGTTGGAGGCAATGGCTACAGGAAGCCTTAGTTGACCTAGGTTTCGTGCTAGTTGGCACTCATCAGCAAGGCGTATCTGCAACCTTGATTGAACTCATGTTCCTTCTGTGATTCGAACCCGCGTCACCCAGTTGGCGCTGCAGTCAGAGACGTTAGCACTGAGCTATTCGGGTTCGTGATTGACCTCCTGTAGGATTGTAGTGGGTATTTTGATTGGACACTAGTAGCTAGTGTGACATGTCCAGTCTTTTCTTTGGTGTAGACTGAATTCTATCATCAGGGACATGACTTCAATCAAGGTTGTAGATATGCCTTACCGATGAGTGTCAACTAGCACGAAACCTAGGTCAACCAAGGCTTCCTGCCGATTGCCTCCTACCATTTAATACCAACATCTCACAGTGCACCGTAATGGCGAGCCACCTAGCATGGTGGCCACATTGCAAGCTTGACTGATAGAATTCAGTCTGCACCGAGGATAGGACTAGACACATTACACCACTTACTGACTAGTGTGCAATCCAAAAAAATTAAATAAATAAACTGACCTTTTCTTGATAGCGTTTATGGTGGGCTAAAATCTTGTTTTTAAAATGAAACTTAGTAGATTTTCTTTACTGATTGTATCTCAATATACATTGTAGCTGAACTTTTAGTAAATAGCCAATATATTTATTTTTATGATCACATTGATGAAATAATGACACCTTTGTTACAGAAGGGAATATTTTATGGCTGCTGCTGCTGGAGCTATAACTTATTGATTTGTTTGATTCCATGACAAATACAAACTCATTATTTATATTATGACTAAAAGTGTTGGTTTTTTTTTCACGAGGTGACATCAATTAAAGACAGGAGGTCAATGATGGTCAATTGTTGGTTATATGCTTATCAACGAGAATGGATGACTGACTGAATCTCAACATAGAACTTTCCATAGAAGTTCAACAGTTCAACTTTCCACACTCCATTTCCCACACAAAATAACAAAAAAGAGAGAAGAAAAGAGATACAAAAAAAACTACTATAAGCAGAAATATGAGGGAGAATGAATAGAATACATGGAAAAAAATAAGGGTTTAGTGAATATAAGAGATCACAAATATTGAATGCATCTTCGCTAGTGAGGACAGTTTTCAGGCATATCATCAACTATGTCCCTAGCCATTGGTTGTTACTATATTGAGGCCCTAACCAAACAGTCTACACCTCTATACATGATTGGCTCAAACTAATTGTTGAGCTTTTCATGGATTGTTCACACGCTTTGGTCTGATCACAACTAGTTTATGTTTCCCAACCTGATCCTATATCAGCTAACAGTGACCGTCAAGGAAGATGATGGCTAGTCAGTGTGTTAACACACATTCTAATCACCTCAATCTATGTAGCTTCACGATCTCATCTATTGACTTTCCCTCTTTAACTAACACTCGACTCCGAACTACTCACACTATTTTACTACCTAACTAGGGAAATAGAAAGCAGAAAGAAAATGGATAGATTTATTTTTTCATAGTGTCATCTTTTGATCTGTAAAACTCAAATCCTAATGAGTGGTTGTCATGTCAATCGCCAATCAATCATGTGACGTATAAAATAAATAAACAACAGGTTGCTTGTTGCATTTCTGTCTTCCTCTTTGGGATTATTTTCATTCCCTGTTGTAATTCTGCCAGGATAAAAATATATAAATATGATTATATACAAAAAACCAAAACAAAATAAAACTAGAAACTGATCGATTTTAGTGTCATTATAATTTTATATCAATGATTTATCTGAAATTGCCTTTCTTTTTTGATAATCATTTATATCTAAGTAACAGATAAGAGCCTTGCTTGTTTACTCGTTCGTTCGTGTGCGTTTATTTCTCAAAAGACGAGTTTCAAAACATCAGTTTATCTTTTCTGACACAAATAACTAAGGTGTACTGGACAGTTGTTTTCCTCTTGTTTGGGACTCTTCATCAGTACGCACCATGATCTCACAGCTAAGGGATAGCACCCAAGGTCATCCAGTTAAAAGGTGTACCATTGGGTCGCTGTGACGAAATCCAATGGCCTATCACAATCTTAAATTCTGCCAACTCGTGATTATAGCAAAAATATTCATTCAAACATCTATAAAACACAAATTAATTGAGCAAAGAATATCCTTTTCGATAAATTCCTCTTCTGGCTCTACAATTATGTGCATATGTTTAAATACATAGAATATTCTACAATAGTCGTCAATAACAATATTAGTGTTTTTTAAATAATATCGATTTGTAAAGTATGATCAATGCAATTACAGTTCAATAAAGATACTTAAATTATAATAATAATAAAGATATAATAGCGAATAGAATATCAACTAAAATTAGGGAAATTCCACAAAAACTGAGGATCATTCAAACCTGGATGGCCAAGGTAATGATAATGTCTACACTAACTTCTTTTGGATGCATAAATTAGGCTTGTTAATATGGATCCCCACAGCTTCAGCAATATTTAGTAGTCGAAATCTTAAGGGAAAATTGAGATTTGTAGGCATGCGGTAAGTGACCCTGAAAGCACGGTTAACATCAATCAATCTTGTATTCTGTATCCACAAGATGAGATAGAATAGCGCATCTTCCAACCAATGTCGTTGGTGAGCATTTGTCTTCACATTCTCCTACTTGGTTGTCCCTCAAGGCAATTTCATCCTGTAGCCATTCACTAGTGAGCACTAGAATAATTTTCAAGTGTTGGTTCTCAGAGACTCGACTGATCAAGCACTGACTTCCTTTAGAGAACCATTGAGAACCAGGGACTGCTGATCAGTGACGTTCGCCAAATTGTGTGTGAAGACAAACACTCATTGATAACATTGGCTGGCGGTTGCACTACAGATTACAAATTGTCAGAAGTTAAAATTTATGTGCCGTAGGATTCCCCACCCCCCCTCAGTGACTGAAGGTCCTGAAATCGATAGCCATAAGTAGGGTCATGGGTATTTTACTGTTGAAGTGTCTCAAAGTAGAACGAAACAACTGTACTCTGTGACTTTCAACGGTTTCTCTAATTGAAGTCAGTTCTTCATCAGTCTTGAAATGAATATCATTCCAGTTAGTTTCATAACCAACTTGTATGATTATAAACTTCAGTCGGCTACAACCTCGATGACATGACTTAATTCTCGTCCAACTAAATTAAGAGAATAACGACATTGTCTTCTCTTTCAACCTCTTTCTCTCCCTATCTTGTGGCTATAGCTAACACTGTAGAAAATATTGTTACTTTCTCTGATCAATGAATGACAGATGATCCCTTTCTTGTTGAAAAGATAGGGACAGAGAGAAAGGGATGGAGGGAAAACACTTAATATTTGAAAAGCGGATTTGTTGTTTTATATTTTCACAGTCATCCTCTTGTTTTCCCCCTACTTTTAGGGACGACAAAAATATATATACATAAATATACAAACACTTTGGGTTTTTTTACTTCGAATTTTTGTTTAGTTTCTTTCGTTTTAGTAGTTTTTTTTTAAATGTTTTGTCATTTTTGCATATATTTCTGTCGAGTCTTCGATTGTTTCTTATCTTCATCGTTCAATTATCTTCTTCTTGAAGTCTTTTATTTTTCTTCTTCTTTATTTGACCTCTGGTTGTGGTTTCTGAGGTCAGCTTAGTAGTGTAGGCGTGTTTATGGAAATCATTCAAATCTTGATGCAGATATATCATATTTCTTTGAAGCGATGTTATCTTTGACTTTGTTCTTTTCTGTATGTTTCAGTTGTTTTCATAAATTTTTTAAAAAGAAAGAAGGGGAAAACAGTTAACTCTATGAAGTATAATAAGTGACATTTGGCTGATTGCTTTTCAGTTGAAAGAAAAGATCATGTATAATGAAGTCTACGTTAACTTATTCAGATTAGTATTTCGAATCTCCCGTTGATTTGATGTGTATTAGGCCTAAATCATCAATCTTCAGTGGCATATTGACCTGTTATTAACTTTGCTTTGGCAATGCTTTAAGGTTAATGCTACCTTATGTCATGGGTTGTATTTAACAGGGGAATCCAGGAGGTGTTTTTCGTCCTTTCTGTGGCTCGTCAACTGGATGCACCTACGTTCACAATGAGTGATGGTGTTCCCATTAAGGTTAAGCCTTGCACTATCATTTCAAACATCAGAGCGTTGTCCACCTAGTCATAGGACTCTCTTCTTGTCCAGTTGATACCAAATGTTGCTTATTGAAATTATTATTTTGAAT